CACCGTCTCCTGGTGATTGGCCCAAAGTCACCCAGTCAGCTTTCCTGCCTAAGGCGGGACTAGAACTCAGAGTCTCCTAATTTCTCGATTTTCAGCTTGTGGTGCCTGAAAACGTGGCTGATTTTTCTCTCCCCTCCTCTCTCTCCTCCCTACAGAGCCCCTGCACCCTACCTCCATTTTACAGCCCCTCCCATCTCCGCTGTCCCCTTACCTGTACCAGCTCCAACAGGAACAGTCCCGGTTGCACTTCCACCCGTGTCCCACGCGCCAGTCCAGGCAGGAGAAGAGGAAGATTATGACACTTAACATACACACACAACGCACCCTGGTTCCGTTTTCACTGCTGCCATTCGGGAGGGGAGGGGCGGGAGGGTGGGGGAGAATCATAGGGGGTTTGAAAGGGGCTGTTCTTAAATTTATTAAAAAAGAGAAAAAGGCGATACTGGGATTTTTATTTATATATATATATATTTGCCCGTACCTGGGAATGGCAGAATGGAATTTCTAGCTTATCCTCGGCTTAATGGCTGCCATGGAGCCCAACATTTCTTGTTGCTAAGGGAGTTCGGTCATTGTTGTTAAGCGAATCAGTGCAGGGACTGAATTAGTCCCCCTGTTGTTAAGCGAATCAGTGCAGGGGCTGAATTAGTCCCCCCATCATTAAGCAAATCAGTGCAGGGGCTGAATTAGTCCCACCGTCATTAAGCGAATCAGTGCAGGGACTGAATTAGTCCCCCCATCATTAAGCGAATCAGTGCAGGGGCTGAATTAGTCCCACCGTCATTAAGCGAATCAGTGCAGGGACTGAATTAGTCCCACTGTCATTAAGCGAATCAGTGCAGGGGCTGAATTAGTCCCACCGTTGTTAAGCAAATCAATGCAGGGGCTGAGTTAGTCCCACTATTAAGCGAATGTGGTTCCCCCCACTGCTTATCAGGTGGTCGTAAAAGGGGATCACGTGACCCCAGGGCACTGCGACGGTCGTAAGTATGAACCAGTTGCCAAGCGTCTGAATTTTGATCCCAGGATTGTGGGCATGCTACGGCGGTTGTAACCATGAAAAACGGCCCCAAGTCACTTTCTCCAGTGCCATTGTAAAAGTGGGATTCCTCACTAAACGAGCTGTCGTAAGTCAAGGACCATCTGTACAGTACTCCAGCTGTTGCAAAGAGGCCAACTCTGTTTTTTTTTTTAATCCAGCTGGCGTGAAACTTGGAGGCGTTTTCCCAGCGAGTGAAGGGAATATAATGACTCCGTTTGCACAGCCCGTTGAACCTGTTTTGTGATTCAGCCCTTTTTTTCCACGTTCGCAAACACACTCACAGCCAACAACTCACCCAGCCAGCTGGGTTTGTAAGCGACGCTAAACCACACAAGCCAAAGAGAAACCGGCCCGATTACAACTAGAGCCAACTACAAACACAACTTTTCATTTTGAATTCTGCCTTTCCAAACTGAGGTTTTTTTCCTGGCCTCCAGATGGGTCGATTAAAAGCCAAATTTGTCTCCCTTTTTCCAGAACTTTACGTAAAGTCCTTGACTTTACGGCTGCAATTGACCCCCAAATTTAGTTTGCTAAGTGTGATGACCCGGAGTGTAACACAAATGTAACAAAATCCAAAAGGTAAATAAATGTCCTTTAATGACTCCAACTTGGCCCCACTGTTCAATAATTCTCAGTTGGAGATAAAACCTATTCAAGAATAGTCTTCAAAAGAAAGCAATACAGTCTGAACTTAATGAGCAGATGCTGGTGAAATAAAAACCTAAAACAATCTACAATGAAGGAATTTCCACAATGGACTAGGATAAGTAATTACCAACTTCAAGGAGATAACAAGGCACAATCTGTTGGAAGGACGCCAACCAAGATAACTTCAGCCGAAAATAAAACATGCTTTGCTTCTGGCAACTCTGTTGTAATCATCTCTCTTATATACTATTCTCCCCAGCTGCAACCAACGAGGGGGATCATGGCTGCTTCCTCTCTCGTAAGCCAAGTTGCTCCCTTATCTGTTCCTGCATGTCCTAGGATGAAGAGGGGATGGGCCTGGTTCTTCCTCTGACTGCCCAGCCGGCCTCTGCCCTTCCCCAGCCTCCTCCACAACCTCCAGAGCCACACCTACCCTCCACCTCTGCTGTTTCTCCTCTCCCTCAGAGTCCGACTCTACCAAGGACATGACACTAAGTGAGACATTTGAGTTTTGCCTCCGTTTTCTCGGTTGTTCACCAAATCAAAGCTGTTGTTAAATTCGTCACACGGTCGTTAAGCGAATTGGGTGTTTCCCCTGCCCCAAATTGGTTTTGTTCTTCAGAAGGTCAGAGAAGGGGATTGGGAGACACACATACACCCCGGGACGCTGCAATTGTCATAAATGTGAGTCAGTTGTCAAAGCATCCGAATATAAATCACATAACCAATGAGATGCTGCAACGGTCATAAGTGTGAAAAAGGGTCAATAAGGCACTTTGTTCAGTAACTTAGAACAGTCACTAAATGAACTGTTGTAACTCGATTACCTGTACACCAGTCCTTGACTTAAGACAATGGCCATTTGTTTACTGTCCAAAGTTACAACAGGGCTGGAAAAAAAAACTACTAAATTTATTTGCTGTTCATCTTGCGGTTCAGATGAGAAAAAAATGACTTGTGGCCAGTCCTCGCACTTAACAACCATCACAGCACCCACACAAGTCACCTGATCAAAATTTGGTCACTTGGCAACCGGCAGGTATTTATGTCACATGATGTCCATTTATGGACTTCCCATCCAGCTTCCGACAAGGGAAGACAATGGGAGGAGCCAGATTCACTTAATGGCTGCAGCAATCCGTTTAACAACATCTTTTTAAAAATTACATCTTTAGGTTTCAGAAATATAAAGGAATGTTAATTTTTATTTATTTATTTAAAGCAAAACTGAGAAAGAGATGAATTACATTTCAAGTGTAGTAATCTTTTGTGGAGGGCACGGATCTCTCGTGGGGGGGGGCTCAAATGATTTTTTTTAAAATAGCTGGTATAGCCCCCACCCCACCCCCCCCAAAAGCCTCAGGAAGATACCCTGATTCAGTAAAAAGCCAGAAATTACATCTTGAAAGCAAGCAGAGCTTTGGTCCTGAGCAAAAATGGTTATTTTTAGAGGTAGAAGAAGTTAAAATGGGATGGCCAGGGAAAAAGTAGAATATAAGTATAGGGTCTCCTGCTCAAGCAAGGGGCTGGACTAGAAGACCTCCAAGGTCCCTCCAGCTCTGTTAATCTGCATTTTATTCTGTATCTTGCAAGAATAGCAATAGCATTTAGACTTATATACCGCTTCACAGTTATTTACAGCCTTCTCTAAGCAGTTTACAGAGTCAGCCTCTGGCCCACAACAATCTGGGTCCTCGTTTTACCCACCTCAGAAGGACAGAAGGCTGAGTCAACCTTGAGCCTGGTGAGATTCGAACTGCCAGATTGCAGGCAGCCAACAGTCAGCAGAAGTAGCCTGCAGTACTGCATTCTAACCACTGGTATCCCTGAGATGTGAGTTGAAAAGTTGGCAGTGTGTTCCTTTCCAACAACAAGGCCTAAAAACTTATTTCCCCTGAAAGTCAGGACAGAAATGAATGAATTATCAAAATTAGAATTAGAATCAGAATTCGAATTATCGGGAAACAGCCTGAGCTGCACTGGAGAAAGGCAAACTTTTGGAATTTCAAGAGATGCCGATTTGATGTTCCCTTGGGACGCCTCCCCCTCCTCCCCCTTTTGTAGATGACTAGCGACTTGAAAAGCAAAAATGCCCCAAACAATCAGTTGCTCTTCCAAAGCACCCCCTTCCAAAAAATACTCAGCTTTCTGGTTAAGTAAGGAAGGAAAGAAGAAGAAGGAAGGAAGGAAGGAAGGAAGGAAGGAAGGAAGGAAGAAGGAAGGATGGAAGGAAAAAATAAAGAGAAAGAAAAAAAAGGAAGGAAGGAAGGAAAGAAAGAAAAAGGAAGGGAAGGGAAGGAAAGAAAAGGAAGGAAAAAGAAAAAGGAAGAAAGGAAAGGAAGGAAATAGAAGGAGGAAGGAAGGGAAGAAAGAAAAAGGAAGGGAAGAGAAAGGAAGAAAGAAAAGGAAGGGAAGCAGAAGAGGAAAGAAGGAAAGAAAAAGGAAGGAAAGAGGAAAAAAGAGAAAGGAAGGAAAGAAAAAGGAAGAGGAAGGAAAGAAGGAAAGAAAAAGAGATCGGAAAAGTGGGCTGGAAACCATGAGGAGTGCCTCCCCTCTTATCGCACAGGCCCTCCGAGCGCCTCCAGTACTCGGGTCCCCTTTTCCAGATAGTCGGACCGTTGTAGCCAGAATCCCTCTTTGTCTTTCATGATGTTGGCGAGCACAGCGCCCCCCAGGAACACCATGTGTTTTCGGCATGGGGGGTCCTCAATGCGAATCTTGAATTTCTGAAAGAGAGAACCAGCATTCAATCATTTCCAAGAGATCACAGTTCCCGGATTTGCGACGCATTCTTTAACGTAGCTTATCGGGGGGGGGGTGTGTGCATCGATTCAGACAGTTTTGCCCAAATAAAAGTTACAAACGATCCAACAGACACAAGAATTTTAATCGTACAAGCAATCATCCTTGACTTGAGCGACTTAACAGGAGCCCCACATTTCTTGTTGGGAGGTGAGACATTTTGTGAAAAGAGAGTTCTGTTCCATTTTACGACCAGCGTTTTACGAAAACATTTGGCTCAATCGTGGTCGTAAGTCGAGGATTATCTATATGCACGAAGATGAAAAGACTGACTGATTCCCACAACGGAAGAATAGAGGTGGCAAAATTGACTTTCATTAGAAGACAACTAATCTATTTTTCTTTTGTAAAGCCTGAATAAGGCCACAGCTAGAGTCCTGCATCCAGTTTTGGTCACCTCATTATAAAAAAGATGTTGAGATCCTGGAAAAAGTGCAGAGAAGAGCAACCAGGATGATCAGGGGACTGGAGGCTAAAACATACGATGAACGATTGCACGAACTGGGCCTGGCTAGTCTAGGGAAGAGAAAGACCAGGGGAGACATGAGAGCAGCCTTCCAATATTTGAGGGGCTGCCCCAGAGAGGAGGAAGGGGGTCAAGCTGTTTTCTAAAGCACCCGAAGGCCAGACAAGGAATAACGGATGGAAACTGAACAAGGAGAGATTCAACCTGGAAATAAGGAGAAACTTTCTGACAGTGAGAACAATCAACAGAAGTTGTCCTCGGAAGTTGTGGGAGCGTCATCCCAGGAGTCTTTCAAGAAGAGATTGCACTGTGATTTGTCAGAGATTGTGTAAAGTTTCCTGCTTTGGCAAGGAGTTGGACTAGATGACCTACAAGGTCCTTTCCAACTCTGTTAATCTGTTAATAAGTGATGTAGGGTCTCCTGCTGGGATGGAGGGGGTTGGACTAGATGACTTACAAGGTCCCTTGCAACACTGATTCTCTGTTAATCTGTTTTCTACTTGGAAATCGTTTCTGGAATTTGTCCTTGAGGTTGCGGGGCGGCAAAAAATGAAACTGGTTTGAGGTTACGATGACCGGATCGACTCTGTTGTTATAGAAATGGCTTGAAATAGCTAGGAATATAAAGAAGAAAGTGAAAGCTTCCAATGGCCCCGGAAAACAAATTGAAAGTGACTTAATTTATTTTTCTTTTCACCTCTCTTCTACCTTCTTTCTCTTCCCTGATTTTGGTTTCTATTTATATTTAATTTCATAATAAACTTTCATATTTTTTTAAAAAAAGAGCATTTTTCACCCCTGCCAACCAGTTCTTTGAATCATCAAGGCCTGTCTAGTACCTTCGCTATGCTCCCCAGCTACAACAGTCAACAGCAGAGCCAATTACAGATAGTCCTCAAGTTATGGCCACAATTGAGCCCAAAATTTCTGCCGCTAAATGAGATAGTTGCTAAGTGGGTTTGACACATTATACGACCTTTCTTGCCACCGTTGTTAAGTGAATCACCACAGATGTTAAGTTAGTAACACATTTGTTAAGTGAATCTGGCTTCCCCACTGATTTTGCAGAAGGGGATCATGTGACACCCTCCGGGATGCTCCAACTGTCGTAAGTACGAGTCAGTGACCAAGGGTCTGAATTTGGATCATTTGACCGCAGGGATCCACAATGGTTGTAAGTGCGAAAAAGGCTCAAAAGTCACTTTTTTTTCAGTGCCGTTGTCGCTTCAAACAGTCACGCAATGAGTTGTCGTAAGTTGAGGACTACATAGCTAGGTGTCAAAAAGACAATTTTCTTTCATCGAAATATGGGAATAAGGGGAGGGGATTTTGAATTTGTACCTGCCTGGCATCGTCCAGAATGCCAGGAGGAGGTCGACTGGACTTTGCTCCCCCCACCATTGCCCACTTCAGATGTGGTATTCAGCCGGTTCTGACCGGTTCTAGAGAACCGGTAGCGGAAATTTTGAGTAGTTCAGAGAACCAGAAAATCTCACCTCTGACTGGCCCCGCCCCCATCTATTCCCCGCCTCCCGAGTCCCAGCTGATTGGCTGGGTTCTTCTTTGGTTGCCCTGCCCAGGAGAACGGAGCTGGAAAGCAGGTTAGTGGGGTGGGCAGGGAATGGATTTTGCAGTAACCCTTCCCCTGCCACGCCCACCAAGCCACACCCACCAAACCACGCCCACAGAATCAGTAGTAAAAAAAAATTAATCCCACACTGGCCCACTTACCGACAGCTTCCCTGCATCCCCGTTTAACACCTGCTCCAAATACAACTGCTTGATCTCACGCTCCAGGCGGGATGGCAGACCAGGGTACATGGTGGAGCCCCCCGAAAGAACAATATGCTTATAAAACTCTGCCCTGTGAAAAGACAAGGGTGGGTGGCGGAAGAGAGTGACTATCAGATGCTGCAGGCATACAAGGACCAGAGAAAGCTGGCTTAACGTGATCGACATAAACCAGATGCGAGCGCTCCGTTCATGGTTTAGCATTGAACTGCAACTCCCATTTAAGGTTATTAAAGAAATAACAATGAACTCCCAGAATTCCCCATCCAGCTTTGCTTTAAGATGGGTGGACTTCAACTCCCAAAATTCCCTAGCTAGCATGGTTTAAGATGCCAACTCCCCTTTCATTTTATTAAATTAGGTTAATAAAATAAAAATAAACTCCCAGAATACCTTCCAGCATACTTTTAAGAGATCTGGACTTCAAGTCCCAGAATTCCACAGCCACTATGCTTTAAGAGGCCAACTCCCATTTACTTTTGTGAAATTTGTTTATTAAAGTAAAAATAAACTCCCAGAATTCCCCATCCAGCATGTTTTATAAGCTCTAGACTTCAACTCCCAATATTCCCCATTTAGCATGCTTGAAAATGCTAGCTCCCATTTAATTTTATTAAATTTATTTAATAAATAAAAAATAAACTCCCAGAATTCCCCAGCCAGTACATTTTAAGAGATCTGGACTTCAACTCCCAGAATCTCCCAGGCAGCCTGCTTTAAGATGAGTGGACTTCAACTCCCAGAATTCCCCAGCCACCATTGTTTAAGAGGTATAGATTTCTAACTCCCAGAATTCCCTAGCCAGCATGGCTTCAGATGCCAACTCCCATTTAATTCTGTGAAATTAGTTTCATAAAGTAACCACAAACTCCCAGAATACCATCCAGCATACTTTAAGACAGGGGTGTCCAACCTTGGTACCGTTAAGCCTGGAGGACTTCAACTCCCAGAA